GATGAGAGAGAGACGGAGAGAGAGATGACGACGATGGAGAAGGATGGATGGAGCTGCCCGGTTGACATTGAAGCTGATCGCTGATAGGGAGACGACGAGGAGAAGACGCTGAGGCCGCGTGACTACTGAGAGAGTCGAGCGAGAGAGAGAGAGGAGACGAAGAGAGAGAGAGAGAGAGAGAGAGACGATCTGAAAAATTATTTTCATTTAAAAATTTAATCATCGAATCCAACCAATGAAATCAACGAAAAAAAATATTTTATTATTACTAAATCGGACATGTAAACCAGCTTGAATTTTTTGAAAACCACACGAAAAACCCAAGAACCAAGCAAATCAAGCCAAATCATTAAATTATACCAAACCAGTTCGAATCGAACTGGATTGGTCTAGAAGCCCCAGATTTTTTTTTTCTTTTCTTCCTTTTCTTTTTCTTTTCTTCTCCTTCTTCTTCCACCAGCGCGCGACAACCTCCTCTTCCCCCATGCACTGCGTTTTCGGTCACCGCTCAATGAGAGTGTGACATCCCGACCTGGTAAAGCGATCCTAAGAGGGCGGGTAGAGCGAAGCTCCTGGCTAGCTTCTAGGATGGCAGGCTAGCTAGGGTAGTGGAATGCGAGATACAGGAATGAATCGAATCATGTATCGAAAATATCGGAAAATGTGGGATAACTAATCATTTAGAGGTGCCGTTTGATAGAATAAGCTGGAGAGTTGGAAGGAACTCCAGGATTAAGCTGTGCTCGCTAACGGAAATCCTAGGATGGGTGACCTCCTGGGAGGTTTCCCATTCACCTACGGACAAAAAAACGTGCGGGTCTTCGCCAATCTTGGTATGGGGGATTTTGGCTTGGTCCCAAAGCGGACCAATTCCTTTGGGTGATTAGAGTCGGGCCTCTGACAGTGTGTCAGAGCTGGGACCCCCTCCCAGCTAGAGGTATGGTTCGGAGGACGAAACCATGCGTGAAGGCTGGTGGGCCTGTGAGCATCCCGACCCGCAAATGCACCTAATGAGGGCAGGTTAGAGCGAAGCTCCCTTGGCAGCTTCTAGATGGCATAGACTAGCTAGGGTAGTGGAATGCAGGACACAAATGGAATCGAATCATATATTCGAAAAAGGGGAAAACTATCATTAGAGGCGCCTTTTGGCTGGGAAATGGCTAGAGAGTTGGAAGAACTCCAGGGTTTTTAAGCGTGCTCGCTTAACGAAAATCTAGGATGGGTGACCTCCTTGGGAAGTTTCCCATTTCACCTACGGAACCAACCTGTGCGGGTCTTTGCCCAATCTTGTATATGGGGATTTGGTTGGTCCAAAAGCGGACAATTCACACTGATGATTAGAGTCGCGGCGTGACAGAGAGCCAGGCGACGTCGACTCGTCTGTGCTACGGGGTCTTCATAAACCGGCCTCCTCTTCACGGGCGGGAAAGAAGCTTCCATTTGATGCGAAATGGAGCCCATTCTTTCTTGGATAAGTTGCTTTCTCAACTTTTGGCGATACACGCCGTTGCTGTTGATGCCAGTGTGAAGGGGCGCCCGATCGCTTCACGCCGATCGCTTCATCTCCTCAATGCGATTTGGCTTGGTCCAAATTGGACAATTCCTCTGGTGATTAGAGTCGGGGCGTGACAGAGAGCCAGGCGAGGTTCGACTCGTCTGGTGCTACGGGTCTCATAAACCGGCCTCCTCTCACGCGGAAAGGGCTTCCATTGATGCGAAATGGAGCCATTCTTTCTTGATAGTTGGCTTTCATCAACTTTTGGCGATACACGCCATTGCTGGTGATTGTAGTGTGAAGGGGGGCGCCGATCGCTTCATCTCCTCAATGCGATCGTTTCTCCTCCATCAATCACAACAAGAGAGCTCAAAAAAGGGAATCCACCATGGACAGGAGCTCCAAGCACCTGTCAAGACTGATCCGTCTAGTTAGAGGTCCCATCTCACTCAATTGACATCGGAAATGGAACCATTAACGAAATTCGATTAGAGTAATGGTGTCCTTGCAAAATTCTGGGCAAAGATCGACTTTTCGGCCACCGTGGACGGTGGCGACAGCGGCAGTCCGGCGAGACCCCAGAGGTAGAATACTCCTTTTCTCGCGCTAATCATGGAATCGTCGCTCGATTCTCAATTGGTATGTTCTAAGACAAATTTCCCCATTTTCAGTATAAATTCTAAACATAATAATTATTAGTTGATGAAATTGAATTTGAATGAATAATCAATCAAATATAATTTTGCTAATAATTTTTGTAAGAATATCAATTGGGTTATAATGTAGATGGCAAATTAATTCTGAATATTGTTAAATATATTTATATTTCATGAACATTAGTTACAACTAGAGGGTTTGATATTGAGATAAGAATTGCTAGCTAATATTTATGTAAGCTAGTTTAGGAATTTTAATAAATATTGTTAGGAGGAGTTATAATTTAAAGCTTAGACAAGTAAATAGTTATCGAGCAATTAATAATATCATTGAATCATGCTTGGAGGTTAATATAAATTGTTAATTAATTGATTTGGAATTATTAAGTGTATATATGTGAGTGTAATGGATGATATATGTAGCCTGAAGCGAATGGGCTGGTTGGATTGATTGCCCGATGGATGGGCTGTGTGAATTGAGTGAACGAATGATTGTTGAATATGGTTACGGCGGACGGGATGAGTTGATGTGAATTGCCCGATGGATGGATTTTGATATTATATTGTTTAATTGTGGTTTAGTCAAATTTTAGGGAAGGTTCTGCTGAAATTTCGATAGAATCTAGGCTACACATAATTAATAAGTTTATTTAGATTAAAGTTTAGTTTAGATTAATTCTATAACTTGATACATAATAACTTAAAGTGCTCATAATTTATTTATTTATTTATCATAATTATTCATTTAATTATTTCAATATTATTTATTTTCAATTATGTATGTTTATTATTATTATTTATTATTTATTTTATCTTTGTGTTTATTGTTAATATTAGTTTATTTATTTTATTTGCATTTGAGTATGGAATGTCTAATTGTGCATTTGCATTACGATGTTTAATTTGCAAATCAATCATATCTGTTTTTAATTGCCAATGCTTGATTAGTTGTTGATGTGATAATGTTTTTGCCATGTTTGTGTTGGAGTTGGAATGAAGTGGATCGATGGGTGTAAGGCGCGATTTACCGAAAACTACCGATGTGGGAGATCGCGTGCTCGTGTGCACCTGATGGCTCTATGACATGGATAATATGGATAAAACCACAGTGTGGCCTCCTATTGGATTGGAAAAAGAATAAGAGAAGGAATTGGGAAAAACCAATGAGGAGGAGCTGGTCAAGTAGGGATTACATCGGTCGGCCAATGTATGGGGGGATACGGCTCGCTGGTGTTTACAAGCTATTGAGAGGTGAGCCATGCGTTGAGGACGCTCAGTGGGAGGTTTCGCGGGTGACGCCCACAAACCAATTTCCACATGATGTGATTATGTGAAGATGTTAATAATTGCGAGTGTTTGTTGTTGTGCCATGTTGTGGCTGCCTAGCGTGATCATATAACTAGTTGGATGAACTAGATTTAATTATTTACACATTCGTGTGAATGCCATGTGTTGTGCAATAATTATTATTCATTAATAAACTCACAACTCCTTTGTTTAATCTTTCAGGAAGTAGCTTTTCCTAAATCCCAGCTAAAGCACTGTTTCTTTCACTGTTAGTAAAAAGTTCTTTAATTTTAGTATTAATTCATTAAATAGATAGATGTACGAAAACTTCTCTGTATATATCTGTTAGTGACCTCCGCAATTGTAGAATTTACATACATTTAGTCGTGTGTTAACATAGACAAAATAATTCTGTGAGCCCATATTAGAAATGTAATGTATTGTAAATTGGCCCCGAACTGTGGAATGTTGTAGATGATAAATTTGGGCCGAGATATAATAAAATCTTGAGAATCTTGAGGTTTATTTTTCCAGCTAATATGGGCTGAATGTTTTAAAACCTATTTATATTTAGATAGTGGATTTTTAGTGTTTCAGGCTTATTACATGGCCTCGAGGGTCTTAAGCTTACTCGGGCTCTTAGTGCCGGATCCAGCCCATGGAAACAAATATGGGCTGAATGTTTAAAATTTATATTTAGATAGTGGATTTTAGTGTTTCAGGCTTATTACATGCCTCGAGGGTCTTAAGCTTACTCGGGCTCTAGTGCCGGTCCAGCCCATGGAAACAGATCGTGACAAAGAGAGAGAGAGAGAGAGAGAGAGAGATTAAAAAAAAATAATTTAACAAATTTTATATGTCTCATTATCTACATTTATTATTTCTAAAAAAGGTAAAAATTTTAAATTTTAAATTGCTTAATAATCTAAATATTAAAATTATAATCAAATATCCAAATAAATACTATAAATAGTTTTGAAGAAAAAATTTTAAATTAGAACCAATTAAAATTATTTTAGGATATTTTTAAAATTTTAATTAATTTTAAAAAGATTTAATTATTCATATATTTATTTAAAAATTAATTTTAATAAAATATATCCAATCAATCAAAGAAGATTTATATGAAAGGCAATTTCAAAGGTATTTTTTGAAATAAAAAATTTATATTATACCACTTAGAAATTAAATTCAATATTTTTTCTTTTTCAATTTAAATTATAAAATATTGGAAAGAATTTCAGATTTATTTTTTATAAGTTTTTTAGTAAATTTTAAAGCTTTTTTATTGGTTATTCTTTTTTTTTTTATACTATTGCTTATTATTAATTTTAAAAAGAAAAATTGAAAAGAAGTTATCTAGTTCCAATTTTAAATTGAAACAGAACTCTAGGTTTAGGCGTTTAGCAGTTTTAATTGTCTTTGAAATCATCAAAAGCGGTTTAGTTCCGATTTCACTTGCTTTAACCGAAACCGACACAACGTATAATCCAATTGCATTCTAACTGAGGGTAATTGCAGCTCAATTCGGATTTACAAAACGACGCCGCCCACGGACACTGTTCTAGTTCCAGTTCTGTACGCCTCTTCTATACTTGGTTTTCTAACGCTGAAAGTCATCAATGACCGACCTCTCATTTAAAGAATCTTGTGAATCGTCCTCTCTCATTCTTTTTAGTAGAAGAATTGTGAAAATTGGTCTGCTCTCGAATTGATTTGTGATAGACTATTCCGTATTGATCGGAATCGGGTCGGTTTCTTTTGTGGTGTTACATCGCGGCTGTTATATTGAAGCTGCTTTCTTTTGATAATTTCATCATCTCATCCACTCACTACTACAGGTAATTGTGCTCAATCTTGTATCTGGTATCTTCTTCGAGTCTGAGTTCTCTTCGGGAAGGAAAAAAAAAAGAATTTTGAGCTTTTTTTTTTTTCTTTTTCCCCGTCTTTGCGGAAATGATTAATTGAAGTTAACATAAGCACCGCTTCTATTTCATTAATTTCGTATGCATTAGTTTAGCGAGGAGGGAAATGGGGGAAGAGGGTTCTTGAGTGGGCTGAGAATTGCTGTGGTTGAGAGTACTCTTTTTGGGATATAATTAGCGGCGATAGATTGCCTAAACCAGAGAGAAGGAGATGGGCAGTGATATATTAGCGGGCTGAGAGAGGGAGATTAACGGCGTCGTATAAACCCTATACCTAATTTGGTTTTGGGGTGCGACATAGGTCAAAAAGTTCGGGTGTTCTTGGTTATTAAGCCTCTTAATTCCCCAGGCTCTAACCGCAGTATTTATATGATTTCATCAAATTTTGACGAAATAAAAATTAAACTAACCTCACTATCAGCTGGGTAATTCAAGAATCCATGAAGACTTTGAAGTTTTGGAAGGAAAAAGCAAGAGATTGGGAAGTTATAGAATGATAAAGCTTAAATTCTGAAGAAGTAAGAGGGGAAGTGAATTTTTTAGGAAGAAAAAGTAGCGATTATTTTTTCATTCTGTGTATTCAGTCGATTATTTCTCAATCAACTCTTATGTTTTTTGGTTGGTTCTCTTTTCTCAGAGAAATTGATGCTCTTTTGTCACAAACTTCTCTCTTTTCTCATATTTGATTTGTACAACCTCTGAAAACAATTGTTAGAGAATATGACAAGACACTTACTGAAAGCAGAATCGATGCTCTTAGGTATAGACTCTATGTAATTTAAAACCATGATACAGATCTTGTCACATCTGTTCAACAAGTTATGCCAGAAAATGCAATGATGCCTTTTCTTGTATGACCGCTTACTATATCAATTTATCATTGGAGGAATATATTTTAAATATACATATTGATGCTACATATTCAGAAAATAAAATGATATGACCTATGAAATCCTTAATGCTGGGACCTGCTATATGCAGAGCCCTTATTTGTTTATTTCTAAGGGAAATTTTTTATCTACTAGTCAACAGTAATTAGGATATGGGAACTCTTGAGAGTGTAATGAGACCAGCTGCTCCATCCTTTCCAGGAATTCATTACAGAAAAACCATCTATGTTAGATACAGTAGACAGAGAGGTGTTTTTAAATTAATAAATGGAAGCTATATTGATATATTGGTAAGCTTTAAAACAGCAACGTTCAGTTGGAATTAAGTGTACAATCGTGTCCTTGCTTTCTAAACCAATCGATTTTGTGTGGTCTGATACTCCAGAATGGCTAACAAAGAATGGACATTACTAGGAAACAAGTCTTATTCTAGTTGATGTAAGCACATACCCTTGGTTATTTGGCATTTATGGTTACAGGTTGTAGAAGTTGTTATATAAAGTTAACTGCCATCTTAGAAGCTACAATTGTGACTAATGATTAACTTTATTAGGAATGCAATTATGAGATATACAAAGCCCACTTGTCTTTCTAGTTTGTTTTTACTTGTAGGTCTTTACTTGAGCTTTTTATAATTTATGTTAGCCTTTTCTTTTCTTTGCTTTTCTTTTTAAAATGTTTTCCTATCATGTCATACCATTTCACTGAATGGCAACAAATTTTACAACTCATATTGAGTTGGACAACATTAACTCTACTAGGTGCTCTCATATTTATAGGATCTCTCATATTTAACAACTAATAAAATCACCTCTGCCATTTTCTTTCTCCACAGTACCCGTTTGGAGACTAAACTAAGAAAGAAAACCCATAAAATAGGGAACAAAATATTCAGTCGATTTTGAGCAATTGGAGAAGAGAAACAAAGATGTCAGACAAGTTTTCTCCGACGTTAAGGATTGGAGATCTTAGTGATTTCATAGCACCGTCTCAGGCTTGTGTTGTTTCTTTAAAGGGATTGAAATCAAACGCAAAGACATCTGATAAACCTGAAGTAAGGTTCCTCGATTTATTTCAGTTTTGATTTTTTTAAATTTATTTAGCTGGAAATAAATAGTTTAATTTATTTTTCTGGGTTTTTTGGATTTTATTTGAAGGTTTCAGTTGCCGAGACGAAGCAAATTGATCCGGTTAAAATCTCGCTGAAGGACTGTTTGGCATGCAGGTAAGTTCTATTCTGGCTGAAAAGATTGATGCACATGGTTTTTGTTTTGTTGTTTTTGCGTTGGCAATTAATTAACTAATCAATGAAATTTGGAGATTTCTTAGTGGAGAAGTAATTTATGGGCAACATTTTTGGGGTGTTGGGGAAATGTGGAGCTGCAGCTTGATATTGGTTGAAAAAGAATTTGTGCCTTTTCAAAGTCATTTTGTTAGGCTTTTGCCTGTGTGAAGCATAGAATTTATAATATGTTGTGATAATACAGTGGATGCATAACATCAGCAGAGACAGTAATGCTTGAGAAGCAGAGTTTGGATGAATTCCTTTTGAATATTGATAAAGGAAAAGCAGTTGTTGTCTCACTATCTCCTCAATCTAGAGCTTCTCTTGCCGTTCATTTTGGCATCTCCCCACTTCAGGTATTAATTTTTTAGCATATGTTAAAAAAGAAAGTTTATTTTTAGTATGAACAGGGAATATTTTTTGTGACATGCAAGTTCTTGCAATTTTCAGGTTTTCAAGAAGCTCACTACTTTTTTTAAGTCCATAGGAGTAAAGGCTGTATTTGATACAAGTGTCAGTAGAGATTTAACTCTTATAGAAACTTGTAATGAATTCATTACTCGCTACAAACAAAGCCAATCAAATAATGATGACAGATCAAAGTCAGCCCTACCTATGCTTTCATCAGCATGTCCAGGTTTCTTTCGTATCCTATGAGTTCAGAATCAGTGCATATGCTATAGCATCCTCTCCATCTTTATACTATATTCCTTTCCTAGACCCCGCTAACAAACAAAGACATAATGGTTAAGAGAAAATAATGTTAGAAATACATAGTGGATTACATTTGGTAAAATATGTTTGATTAATATTTTTCTGTTATTACAGGTTGGATATGCTATGCTGAGAAACAACTAGGATCCTATATTCTGCCATATATATCTTCTGTGAAAAGCCCTCAACAAACTATTGGAGCTACCATCAAGCATCACATATGTCAAAAGATGGGCCTTAGGTAACAACTGATTTTGTTTATTTCTGAAGTACTCACTGTTTTATTTCTAACTGCGCTAGAAGCATATTAACTTTCACAGTTTTTTGGGGAAAAAAATGAGAGTGATTATTGGGGAGTTATTGTCCGTGTTAGCTGGGAACAACAAAGAAAGTTTAGACACCATTTTGGTATTTTGTATGCTTGTATGATTTTATTGGTGATAACATGTTTAATAGGCCTGATGAAGTATACCATGTGACCGTGATGCCTTGTTATGATAAGAAGCTTGAGGCTGCAAGGGATGACTTCATTTTTGAAATAGGATCTCAAGAAGAGACTAATGGGAGCAGTATCAGGCTTGCAGAGGTAGATTCTGTTTTGACATCTGGAGAAGTTTTAGATTTGGTAAAGGTGAGACTAAGGTTTGTAGTAACATCTATAAGTTTGTTACATAATGTCCTTTTATATGGTTAAGAACTGGGGTTGCATAGTTAAATTTTATGTCATCAACTTTTGCAGTTGAAAGCTGTGGATTTTGCAGCCTTGAACGACTCACCACTAGATAGAGCGTGAGTATTCAATTAACCTTCTATGCTTTATATACATGTCTTGAGAGTGCTGATCACAAGATGAAAAATCTGTTGATGTTCCTGCAGATTGACTAATATTAATGAAGACGGACATCTTTATGGAGTAACTGGAAGCTCTGGTGGTTATGCTGAAACAGTCTTTCGGCATGCTGCTAGAACACTATTTGGAATGGAAATTGAAGGGCCTTTGGCATTCAAAACTATAAGAAATACAGATCTACGTGAACTGACTCTGGAAGTGAGTTTGCCCTTTCTAATTTTGGTCCTTGAAAATTTTGGAGCTCCACGTTTGCATGGCCTAGTTAAGATTGAGTCATTGCACTATAGATTTGAAAGTCATAGAATAGGGTATGGTTGCTTATCCAGTTATCACTTTTATTATTGTATACTTATGTTTCGCTGTCACATATTCCAGGTAGATGGACAAGTAGTGTTGAAATTTGCATTGTGTTATGGCTTCCAAAACCTGCAAAATGTTGTAAGGAAAGTTAAAATGCATAAGTGTGATTATCATTTTGTGGAGGTCATGGCATGTCCATCAGGTTTGTTTTTCTGCTTTTCCTCTCTCCCTCCTTTTTCTCTCAAATATACTTGGTTGTGGATGTGTAGTTCATAAAGTTGGTGGAAGCATCAGTTAATAACATTTTTGATGAAAAAGGTTGTTTGAATGGTGGAGGACAAATCAAGCCAATGCCAGGGCAACCTCCAAAGGCTTTGCTTCAGTTATTAGAAACTGTGTACATGGAAAATGTAAGTATGTAACTTTCAGTCTAATACATAGTGGAATGATATATTATTGTTTTTTTATCATTAGTTACTGTGAACACGTGGTATCCAAGTTTATGATTAGAAAGGGATTCTTGGTTTCTATTGTCTATAAATAATGGCCTAGATGAACTATTAGCAATAAGGATTAACCTCTATGTCATGTGGTCAAGCTGAATCCTGTCTTAGATGTTAGGTTGGCAGTACATACGTGCTTAGTTCTTCACAAATGGTAGAAAAGCAATCACTAGTTGGAAGTCTAGAGTAGGTAGCATATAAAGCTAAGTACTACTTAGGAATCGATGAGACTCCAGAGTCCTAATTAAGCTATATCTAGAGTTTGCATTGCCTGGTAGGCAAAGTTTTTGAGCTGTGATTTGGTCTTAATGAAAACTTCTAGTCTACAAGTGGGAAGGTTGTTGATTTCCAAGTCCTACATCAGACAAAGACTATTGAGTGATATAAAATGCTTATAAGGAGCTTATATGGAAATCAAAATCTATATTAAATAAATATTCTTCCAGCAGTTCTCATTTTCTAATACTCTCTTAAGAAAATTAACTGTTAGAAATTTTATACAATTGATTTAAAAATTATATAATGATGATAGCTATATTTTTATGTATAAATTAATTTGACTCAAAAAATTCTTGAAAATCTTACCGAATTGACCTTTAAAAACTGATAAATTGTAAGCTGGTCAAATACCGATAGCTTGGATAACGAACCAACCACGATCACCCCAAGATAACGGGATTGTCTTTCTAGTTTGTGTTGGTTGATCCACTTCTAAGCTTGTCTACTAGTTATGGAATGATCTTTAGTATGTCTTATTGTTAGCATATCTTGTTGGATGATGAGTTGGTGAAATGAAGTTTACTGAAGCAGCATATTAGAAATGCAAATGTAACCCACTAGGTAAACGATGCCCTGACCTGGACAGGGGTATCTATCCCTCCCTGCCTGGTTGCTGTTCCTACAGCATATAGACTCTAAATAGTTATTTGTAGGTGCTCTAAAAGGTCTTGTGGGTTATCTGTGTGCATGATACTCTGTTTTTAAATCTGTAATTATCTGCTCTCTCTCTGTCTCTGTCTCTCTTTTATTTTTTATTTTTTATTGTTTTTAATGGATAAGTATATGCATTTACGGTTTAACTGATCCTAATATTTATCAAATTTATAGGTTTTGGTAGCAGATCCCTTTGACAACCCTTTAGTTAAGGGTCTATATGATGAGTGGCTTGAAGAACCTGGTTCAGAGAAAGCTAAGAGATTCATGCACACACAATATCATCCTATAGTAAAAAGCATAACTGCTCAGTTACATAATTGGTAAACCAGGCCCCCTACTGATCCCAAAACAAAATGTTGGAACTTTCATTTGCCGTCTATCCTCAGTATTGTTGCAATCTCACGAGCAGTACCTATCATCACTCGTGCCCTGCAATTCTGGTTAGCGATGGGAGTCCAATTTTGATAGAGTAAACAAAATTTGTTATTGTAGCATTTTCAACTAATGTATATGCTCTATACTAGAAGCCGTTTAGATAGGAGAAAGAGATTGTTATATGATGCTGTATTTTTTTTTCCCACTTTGCCTTTGGGTTGAAGGGTCCCAATAATAATTTCTCAAAATCTGAAATCATGTACATGATGCATTTTTGTCCTATTTTTGTATAATTTAAACAGGTCTGCACGGAGAGTGACCTATTACTAACAAAATAAATGTCATGTATCAGTTCTCTAATGAAGGAATCAAGCATAATTTTGAGATGTTTGAACTGTTTTTCTCCCCTTGTTTCTGGTTTTTCAGCTCTTGGTTTTTGAGAGGCTTCACAATTGCAAAGTTTGATTTCTTTCATTTTCTCTTTGTTTGTTATTTATACCTTGAATAAAAGAAGTAGCATTATTATAATAATTTGAAATGGTGGTAGTTTAAGTTTCAGCCTTTTGAGTTATAGTTTTAATTTTTTTGATTTATTAAATATTTCAAAGTATTAGTTTAGGAAAAATCAAATGCTATAAATCATATTTTAAAATTCATTCTTAGTTTCAATAAATCCATCCACTAAAATTTTTAAATAATCTTTCACTAATTAAAGGAATCAAAGATAAGATATTGGTACAATGTCAACAGTCTTAACAATAAAGAATAATTTTGAAGTATTCTGACGTATAAAACAAATATGATAGTCAAGAAATCGTTACATGCATACTATGCTTGTATTGTTATATTTAAAGAAAGGAAAAATGAAGAAAACACAAATCTATATAATCTTATCTATATATTTATACGTGTAGATATGAAAGCTGAAATAAAGATATATTTATACGTGTAGATATAAAAGCTGAAATAAAGAGAAGATTTGATGCATTCTCTTTATTCAACATTCTATTTTTCTTTTTTAGAAAATTTGAAAATTTTTCTTATTTTTCTTAATATGATCGGCCAACTTAACATAATAACAACTGATAATTTTTGAAATCTAACCTAATCTAATTTAATCACCTGAACTTAATCCAACTGAAACTCTAACTTCTCTGAGATTTATCTGAACTAAAGGTGTTATCATATATATCTCGAGCTTCTTCAACGAAAGCATAAGTCTTTTCCCACAATAACTATGGTGCGTGTTCTTGCTTGATGGGTTTTTTTACTAACGTTTATTGATATGTTAAGGCATTTTAGTTTTTATTCCTTCTAATTGATTCTCTACACACTTCTTGTGATACAGTTACATGCTTGCAGTTTAATCCCATTGATGATGATTCACTGATCATCAGTGTTTTCATAGATGAGAAAGTTCGCATCTGGACAATTCCTGATTGTGGGTTGTAATACATTGGAAGTGAGTGTGTTCTCAATTCATGCGTCCTTTCCCCTTTTATGCCAGATTCAAACTACATATGTTGAATATGCGCTCGCACAGCGATTCCAAAGGGTTTGAGCTCAAAAGGCCAAATGATTCTATATATTCCTTTCCACGCCCAGAGTGCATGTGCCGTATGAACAAGACAGAATCAAGATCATCCGCTAAATGATTGCTTGGGAATATTTTGATGGTTGGTTCTTCTGCCTGTATTTTGATGAGCAAATCTTGATGCTGGCCCCCATTTTTGTCTCATAATTCTTTCATTTTTTCCCATTTTTCCCTCCGGTGAGAGGGCATACACTTCAATTTTGGGAGCTTTAAAGATTTATTGGAGATTACCGTCATATGATTATTAGGGGCTGGATAAAGGGGAACTGCATTTTTCTGTACATGATGCTGGAAAACATACAAAGAGCAGTTTTTTTTTTTTTTTTTTTTTTTTTGGATGATACGCACTCGAATCGATTCAGCTGATTTTTCATAGATGCTGATCGAAAGTTCGCATCTGGACAATCCCCTGATTGGAGTCTAAATAAATGAACCATTGGAAGTATGAGTGCTGTTTTTGTTTCTTTGCTTTTTTCGTTGCCCTCCTCCAATGCATGCCGTCTTCTCTTCCGCCTTTAATCTTTATGTCCAGATTCAATTTACTTCCTTACATACTGTGCCTATGAAGTATTGCGCCTCGCTCCCACAGTGTACACGGCATTTCCAAATGCGTTTTGAGTCCTCTAGAAAGTGTCTCAAACTGAATTCGGTATATATTCTCAACTTTCCACGCCCAGAGCAGTCTTTTGCCTCCTAACACGAACAGACAGTGATAATCAAGATTCCCATCGCTAAATGATGATTCCTTATATGAACATATAATCACTATTATCATAGATCCTTCTAGTCCTGGATTTTGAGGAGTCAATCTAGTCACCCCATTTTCCGATCTCTCATTCTTAAATAACTCTATCTAATCCTAACAATCTAATTGATTTTATCCCAATTAATTCCACTCCGTGCACAAGACCATAATCACTATCAACAATTTATCGTCGCTTATCGGGGTGACATCTCTCATAATAACAAATATATATTATTGAAAGTATTCACCGTCATATATTACTTAGGGCGGATAAACAAAGCGCGAACCTGCGCATACACTATCTGTACATCAACCTGTACCTAACACACAAGACATAGGTATCTATAATATCATTTATTATATCTATTACTCATTATCTCTATTGTAATCCGCCTCGCACTTAACTAAACGCATGCTCTCACACTCTACCATGAGCTAGCTACACGCTGCTTCAATCTACAAGTCAGAATATGTACTAATTGTTCTATTCCTTACACCTTCGTTTTCTATCGGCCGTTTATGTAAATTTAGCTCGGGTTTGACCATTCCGTACACACTCTAGAGACCATGATCTGCTAAGGAGTGTGATTACTATTTGCATTACAAATCAGCACTTGTTGCGGTATTGATCTTATATATTTTCTTCTCTCTATCTCCTCATGTCTAATTAAATAACTCTATTAATATCATCTAATTCTTATATTACTGAAGAGAGAAAATAATTATATATATATCTATATATATAATATAATTTATAACTATATATTAAATTAATAATATCCTCCTCTCTCACACCTTCTTTTATCTCTCTCTCTCTACCATTATAACTGATGGTTTAATTATTCATTAAATTGCGTGGTTCCTTATGAATATATATATATACTTATTAATTCTAGTATATATAAACATTAGATTCTTTATCAATTAAAAATCCCTACTGTGAGATTGGCGTGCGCAAGTATACACAAACGCAAATAGTTTTAGTATTAAAATTGGTAATTTTGCGTAAGATAAGAAGTTTATATATCACATGTATTCCCACAATGTTCAGTTCACATGTCTTCTTTATATATGCTCTCTATCTCTTATTTCTTCTTGTCGTTTCTTCCGAAAATCTTGTATTCGTGAGGCAGAACCAGAACCTGGTGAAAATCGCGAAAATCTATTATTAATTCTAGGATGAAAATTGAGATTCTTTTATAAATCCCCTATTTAATTGCGAAAATAAACGCAAATTTAGAAAAAATTATTGTTAATTTGTCAAAAATATATATCCAATGGATACCAATTTCAGTTTCCATTACTTCTGAATAGGCGCGGCCATTTTCTGGTTTTCGAAATTGGTAGGTATCAGAACCAGAACCGGTGAAAATCGAAATCGAAACTGGAATTGAAATCGGTGGCCTACGGTCCAATTCTGGTTCCACCATGTTTGGAACCATGAACCGTTTTCGAAAACAACGGTTGTTTCAGCCGGTTAAAATCGACGATTGGAACTGACAATTCGAATCGGCGATTCCAAGCAAAATTTGAATTTTCTGTCAAACGGCTAGAACCGACGATTCCATCGGTTCGAACTGACGGTTCCAACAGCTTTTTTTATATTATTTTTCCAAATAATTTTGTGAAATTTCTAAATTACCCCTCCTAACAACTATAAACAGTTAGTTTTTAGGGTATTTGTGGAAAATTGATTTTTTGGATTTATTATAAATACCCTTTTCCATTTACAATCCCGTTACACAAAATTATCTCTGCTCTCTCTGCTCTATATCATTCTCTACTCTACAATCTCTCCAATTTTCATTTCTAAATTGTTGTCTAAAATATTGCAAAATAATTTCTCCAAATCCAATCTCCAATTATTTGTCTAAATTATTATCAATTAATTTCTTCAAATTTTAATCTCTAATTATTCTCTCTAATTTTTTTTTATTCAAATTTTCAAGTTACATATTATTCTCCTATAATGACAAATAGAGGAAACACAAGTTCCAGTAAGGGCAGGGGAAAAGTTGGAGAACACAAAATTCATCTATGCCTACGAACGACATTTTCGATTTCACTCTCGAGCAATTTGATCTTGAGGGATATCTAAATGAAAATTTGAAAATTTCAACTCAAGAATTTGAATTTAATGAAGAACAATTTACAACAAGAGAAAGAGCAATGTACGCAAGTTATTCGACAAACAAGACAAAGTTCTGACATATTCGTCATTCATGTCATGAAGAATTTGAAGGCGACAAAATATTTGATGTAATTTGTAATTATTGTAGAACATCTTATAAATACAAGCAAGTGGATGATTATGGATCATTTTGGAAGCATTTGGAGGCAAAACATTCAACAAAAATAGGAGTTGATCGGTCTCAAACACAAATTTTCGGGTAGACATTTTCTAACTTTTTTTTATTTCAATATTCTGAAAAACATCAAAAAGAAGAATTAGCTAAAATAATTTCTATGAAATTTATCTTTTAGTTTTGGTGAAAAAGTGGATTTTAATCAATATTGTCAAAAAGCTTTAAATCTTCTGCTAAAAGAGTGCCAAGAAATACTGTAAAAATCTTCTGCTAAAGCAGTTGGCAAGAAATTACTTTTTAAATACGACACTCGATTACTTTACTTTATTATAAAGGCGGAAATAAAAAAGAGTTTAGACTTTTACATCTTCTGAATAATAAAAAATTCATTTTTCATTTATTGTGATACTTGGGCGAATAGGTTGGCAAAATGCCATTTCTTATATGGTGGTGATCGATTACATGTCACTTGGATTGATTCGGATGGAATTGAAAAAATTCAAAAAAAGAGTTTATTGGCATTTCGTGTTTTGACATGATAAAAACACTACTGCCAATTAAATATTTATAGAATGGATTTTGCTTTTCAATTTTAAATGAATATAGAAATGATACCAATTTTTTTTCCAATTTCAATTTTGATTACATGCTCGTATCCAACAACTAAATTTAATTTATTAAACTTAAATTTCAATTTGCTACCAAATGTTGATGTTGAAAATTTTTTTATATTTAGATGTG